CATCTTCTATCAGATCATGTCCAACAAGAAGCCAGAGCTAATTGGTAGGAAGGAGCCTCATGGCTTTTTGAGGAGGAACCCTGAGCAACAGTTCCCTCTATCACTTGCTTGGCAAAACTAAGCCTGTGCCTTGCCTCTCCCTGCTTTCAGACATGCTCCTCATCACCACCAACCCTTATGATTTCCACTATGTGAGTCAAGGGGAGGTCACTGTCCCCAGCATTGACGACCAGGAGGAGCTGATGGCAACAGATGTGAGTACAGTCTCTACTGTGCATGTCTCAAGGGTGACATCGCTGACCCACTAAGGACATGGATTTGAATTCGTGGGTTTTTTTCACTGCAGAGTGCCATTGACATCCTGGGCTTTACTCCTGATGAGAAAACAGCCATCTACAAGCTGACAGGGGCAGTCATGCACTACGGGAACCTGAAGTTCAAGCAGAAACAACGAGAGGAGCAGGCAGAGCCTGATGGCACAGAAGGTATGAGCAAATTCAGTGACTGATTTGCTCAAAGCACTTATCTGTCTCCTGACCTCTGTTGGGCTGAGTCTCCACATACAACACTGAGAAACCCATGTCCATTTGTATTTTTAGTGAAATACCTCCCCTAAGCTTTGCTACCCAGAAATCCACTTACCACAGCATGCTCACCTGATGCACTAGAGGCTTTTGGGATTCTTCTGGGAAATTCCAGTTTTAAGCTATTCCTATCTAAGCCATACGTGTCCTTACCTTCAAAGAAGGCCATCATTAGCTTGCACAATTCACATTCCTTCCCAGGCCTTCCGTATGGGATCAGATAAATGCTCTCCCATTCCTAAAATATGAACACCATCCATGAAATGCTTTTCTCTCCCTTTCCCTATCTCTAGTGGCTGACAAGGCTGCCTACTTGATGGGTCTTAACTCAGCTGAATTTCTCAAGGCCTTGTGTTATCCCCGAGTCAAGGTTGGGAATGAGTATGTGACCAAAGGTCAAAATGTGACACAGGTAAAATGTGGAGGTTGAAAATGCATGGCTTGAGGGAGTACATGAGCATTCTTCTGTGACCCTGGGGGGAAACTCGGGTCCTGTCTCCTCTCCTTTAGGTGAACAATTCAGTGGGTGCCCTGGCAAAGGCTGTGTTTGAGAAGATGTTCCTGTGGATGGTTGTTCGCATCAACCAACAGCTGGACACGAAGCAGCCCAGGCAGTACTTCATTGGTGTGCTGGACATTGCTGGCTTTGAGATCTTTGATGTAAGGAACAAGGATTTGACACCCTAGTCAAGTGAGGAGCAAGGAGGGGTCATGAGGACTCAGACACACACTTCTTTTTGAGAGGATTCAGAAGTTTATCCTTCTCATCTGATGTTTTCTAGGAACACCTCCCTCTTCTCTGTCACTGTAGCCCCCTCAAATGGCTTTGCTGACAAACACCAATTCTAACATTGCCTTTCGGGCAAACAGAGCTTGCAAAGGTCTCAGGCTTTGCAAACAGAGAGGGCTCAGGACTAAGGCTCAAACAGCTTTGGGCCAAAGGGCTGGATGCTCTTGGAAAACCAAGGAAAGGCTGTGCCATTGGGCAAGTTCCCAGCATGTTTCCTGAGCACAGATTATTGATGTGAAGCCAGAGAAATCCTTGGGTGGGACACTGAGGAGGATTCCACTGTCCAGGAGGTCAGAGACCTGCAGCCCCTACCCGATGGAGCAGCTGAGGTTACCAAAGGCTTTGATGGGAAAAAGAATTGATTTCAGAAGTAATGATAATAAAATCCTTCAAGGCCAGGGAGTGGTACAGTAGAAGCCCTGCTAAGGGAACACAGGCTGGGACAGTCGGGTTGGGGATGGTGTTTCAGCTGGGGAACTTCAAACAGCCTTAGGAGAGGGCCAGCAAAGGCCTGTGGTGTTTGGCTCACTTTGAGAACCTGTGCACCTTTCCTTGCTTTGGACAGTTCAACAGCTTTGAGCAGCTGTGCATCAACTTCACCAATGAGAAACTGCAACAGTTCTTCAATCACCACATGTTCGTGCTGGAGCAGGAGGAGTACAAGAAGGAGGGAATTGAGTGGGAGTTCATTGACTTTGGGATGGACCTGGCTGCCTGCATTGAGCTCATTGAGAAGGTACCTCTCCCATACAGGCGTATGATGAATGCTGGAATTACGGGATGTTCCTCAGGCAGGTTCAGCTCAGAGCCAGACATGCAGCATCAGTTAAGCAAAGTATTTTGCACTGCAATTTAGTTTAATCTGGGGAAGAGAAATGGGGAAATGCACCTCTGTGTCATCAGTCCTGCATTTTCTGGTTTTCAAGCATGGAAAAGTAGCCTGGACTCCTACCAAGGGGGGAGTGCTTTTAAAACAGAGCAAAGTCAGTCTCCTTTTCTTTTTCCTTCGAAGGTTCAAATCTGAGGTCTACAGACAAATCTGGGCAATAGGTATCATCTCACTGGACTTCCCTCAACAACAGGGCCTCTTGTGGCTCTTTTGCCAATTATCTTTCTGCTCCCTCTAATTCTGCACCCAATTCTAACGTGCACTGGACAGACATCCTTACGAGTTCCGTGAAGATTGGCTGCAGGGAGGCAAAGGGAAGGCAGAAATCTCTCCCTGCCTGAGAACAACTCCTGACAAACCCAGGCCCTCATCCAGGCTGAGATGCTAAAACACCCCAGAAGTATCTTTGATGTTCATAGCACAGGCTTCTTGTCACTGTCATAGAATCCCAGAGTGGTTTGGGTTGGAAGGGAACCTAAAGAACATCTCGTTCCAACCCCCTGCCAGGGACAGGGACACTTTGCCCTAGACCAGGTTGGTCAGTGTCCCATCCAGTGTGGCCTTGGACATTTCCATTATCATCTTTCTTTGTCATTTCCTGTGGTACCTTCCAGCCCATGGGCATCTTCTCCATCCTGGAAGAGGAGTGCATGTTCCCCAAGGCAACTGACACCTCTTTCAAGAACAAGCTCTATGACCAGCACCTGGGCAAGTCCAACAACTTCCAGAAACCCAAACCTGCCAAAGGCAAGGTTGAGGCCCACTTCTCCCTGGTGCACTACGCTGGCACAGTGGACTACAACATCACTGGGTGGCTGGAGAAGAACAAGGACCCTCTGAATGAAACTGTCATTGGGTTGTACCAGAAATCATCTGTGAAGACCCTGGCCTTACTCTTTGCCAACTATGGTGGAGCAGATGCAGGTCAGTTCAGTGAAAAATGTATTTTCAGTGTGGGACAATGTTAAAACAGAATTGAAGCCATAAACACTAAATATTTAAAATTGTTTGGTGTAATGTAGTTTCCAATGTATAATGTATATAGTTAATTACATTTTTTTCTTTAATTTGTTTTGCAGAGGCCAGTGGTGGTGGTGGCAAGAAAGGAGGCAAGAAGAAGGGTTCTTCTTTCCAGACTGTCTCAGCTCTTTTCAGGGTAAGAGCAGAATCCATTGCCTCATTAAAACATCCTCTGAAATAACACAGGAATTGAGTGGACTTGACGTGAGAGGAGACCCCTGTAATTCCTGGAGAAGAACCAGATTAATGGATATTTTACACCAAAATAATTGTGCATTTCTTATATATGAAGACACAGAAAGAAGCACTCAGTTTTTACATGAACATCATGGTAAGCAGGAGATTCAAACTCAATTTAATCTAAACTTCACCTTGTAATCTCACAGGAGAATTTAAACAAGCTGATGGCCAACCTGAGGAGCACCCACCCTCACTTTGTACGGTGCATCATCCCAAATGAAACAAAAACCCCTGGTAAGGACATCCATGAGGAGGAGAACTTGAGCAGCAGATGCTCCTTTCCTGAGTGTCAAAGAGCTGGGTAGTCACTAATGCTGGTGTTTGTCAGGTGCCATGGAGCACGAGCTGGTGCTGCACCAGCTGCGCTGTAACGGCGTGCTGGAAGGGATCAGGATTTGCAGGAAAGGATTCCCCAGCAGAGTCCTCTATGCTGACTTCAAACAGAGGTAAGAGCACTGCACCTTACTGCACATGCAGACCAAGCCTGATCATGTTAACAATATTGAATCATTTTACATTGACATGTTTAATTGTGAAATTATGATTTATTTTATGTTGATTGTAGGATTCTCTTGGATTCTGAGATAATGGTTCACTTTCTCTGTCTTGAGGGGATGCCCTCTCTAAAAGATGATGTTACTCAGGTGTTGCTGAGTAGGTTGTGAGCTTCAGTCACCGTTTCAGAAATGTTCTGCTTTCTTCTACAGATACAGAGTACTTAATGCCAGTGCTATTCCAGAGGGTCAGTTCATGGATAGCAAGAAAGCTTCAGAGAAGCTGCTTGGGTCCATTGATGTTGACCACACCCAGTACAGATTTGGTCACACCAAGGTAGAATGAAGTTCTGTTTTGAAATGCTGTGTCCCCCAGTCATGCACTACCCAAGACTGATGTACTACAATCTTGCCTTCTTTCAAGGTGTTCTTCAAAGCTGGGCTGATAGGTGTGCTGGAGGAGATGAGAGATGAGAAACTAGCAGAGATTATGACCATGATACAAGCCAGGTGCAGAGGTTTCTTGATGAGAGTGGAGTATAAGAAAATGGTAGAAAGGAGGTAGATACTTCTCAATCATTTGTTGCGTTCTACTGGTATTTGGCTAATTGAGTCAAATTTCACCATACACAGAATATTCAATAACCATGTGAATTCTTTCTTAGAGAGTCCATCTTCTGCATCCAGTACAACGTTCGTGCATTCATGAACGTCAAACACTGGCCCTGGATGAAGCTGTTCTTCAAGATCAAGCCCTTGCTGAAGAGTGCAGAGTCTGAGAAGGAGATGGCCAACATGAAACAAGAGTTTGAGAAAACCAAGGAAGAGCTTGCGAAGTCTGAGGCAAAGCGGAAGGAACTGGAGGAGAAAATGGTGGCCCTGCTGCAGGAGAAAAATGACCTGCAGCTCCAAGTGCAGGCTGTGAGTATCACCATTTGTTTTTCCCTGGAAAAAGAATGCTAAACTGTCAGAAGGTATCTTATCCTATGCAGTAACTCACAGGAACTGATGGGTAGTAGAAAACAGTCTAAATCACACACTCTAAGGCACTGCAGCATTGAGGAAACAGGCACTGGCATGGGCATGGTGAGATCTATGGCAGCCCAACACGACACTCATCACTCCTGCTGTCTGAGGAAAGAGCCATGAAACACCAGCCAACATGTGCTGCACATCTGAGAGCTCTGAACTGGAAGGGAAACATCTCAGGTTTCAAAGCAGTGCTTCTGTCTAATGCAGTAAAGCAAACCAGGGAAGCACAGGCTTTTCCCATCTACAACTACAATAGAAGGCCTTGATTACTTTCAGAAACACAGATACTTCTCATTCAAACTCATTTAGGAAAAGGCAGTTTCTTAACACCAAATGAAGCCATCCACTAGTTAAGGAAATGCTTGATATGGTATTTAAAGACATTACAGAGGTAGAGGAGGGCTAGAACTTTATTGGTCTTGCAGCAATTTTAATGCCTGTAGGAGAATGATAAATACCTTTCTCAACTAAATTATTGTCAGAAATGTAAAAGCCATTACATCCCAAATAATTTAAGTCTCTCCTTGTAACAATTAAAGAGAAAAAGCTGGTAGATGCATTTTCCATCAGAAAAAAAAAATCCACTAAGCCCTTGATCCTGATGAAATTAGTAATTAAACTAACCACTTCAATTGTTGTGCTTTTGTGTTTGTGCTATGAAGCATTGTCATGGGCACCAAACCAGCATGAAATGTTTAGGAGACAGAGAGAATACAGAATAAATACTGGTTCCAAATGATGAGGTTTACAGTAAACACCAGTCAAGATCTTCCAGTTGCTGGACTTGAAAGTCAGGTTCAGCTCCCATTTTAACACAAGCCTGCTCAGTGATACAAAAGACAGAGCACGGAAAGTTCAAAATATTACAACCCACAAAATTCTATCTCCCCACAGGAAGCAGATAGCCTGGCTGATGCAGAGGAAAGGTGTGACCAGCTCATCAAAACCAAAATCCAGCTGGAAGCCAAAATTAAGGAGGTGACTGAAAGGGCTGAGGATGAGGAGGAAATCAATGCTGAGCTGACAGCCAAGAAAAGAAAACTGGAGGATGAATGTTCAGAGCTGAAGAAAGATATTGATGACCTTGAGCTGACACTGGCCAAGGTGGAGAAGGAAAAACACGCCACGGAAAACAAGGTACACACAGAGGGACTCACATTAAGGGGTCAAAAAATCATTGTTTCCAGGAGCAAAGGAGCAACCTAAGGACGTGTTGGCTTTTGAGCACGTGAGCTGGGCCTGACCTAAGCAGTGAAAAGAAAAGCACAACTTCTGGCCAAGCACAGCAGAGGGAGAATTTCCCTGAATCACCAAGCAAGTTTTCAAATGAATTTTGATAATTGCTCGTATTTGTAGGTGAAAAACCTCACCGAGGAGATGGCAGCCCTGGACGAGACCATCGCCAAGCTGACAAAAGAGAAGAAAGCCCTCCAAGAGGCCCATCAGCAGACCCTGGATGACCTGCAGGTAGAAGAGGACAAAGTCAATACCCTGACCAAGGCCAAGACCAAGCTGGAGCAGCAAGTGGACGATGTAAGCACAGGCAGACACAGCAGGAGCAGACAGGTATGGAGCTGGAGGTGGCTGGTGCAGCACTGATGGCCTTGTTGTGTGCAGCTGGAAGGGTCCCTGGAGCAAGAGAAGAAACTGCGCATGGA